CAGAACTGCGGACAGGCGCGAACACCAGGGATACTTAAGGAGGGGACACGGTTGCCATGCGACCTTGCGCATGCGAGCTCGCTGTAGCAGTAAAACTGGTTCACTGGAGCGTGCCACTCCTTCTTGCGAGTTCCCCTCGTGTGATCTCTGTATGTGTTCCATGTGTACGTGTGTCGTGTTCGTGTTGTCATCTCCGTGCAGTGGAAGGGCCATCTGAGTGAGTTGGAAGGGGAGTTGAAGCTCGACCCTCTGCCCAAATACATGCTGTATGAGGTGATGCCCTTGCGCACATCCATACCACTCCTTACTCGTCGCATTACACACATCAATACTACTCCTCTTCCGCTTCCTCAAATGTGTTCATCTCCCGCTATGGCTATCCTCTCATCCTCTCATCCTCTCATCTCTCATCCTCTCATCCTCTCCTCTCCTCCTCCCTCCTCTCGTCCTCTCATCCTCTCATCCTCTCCTCGTCTCGTCCTCTCGTCCTCTCGTCCTCTCATCCTTCATCCCTTCCTCTCGTCCTCCCTCTCCTCCTCTCATCTCTCATCCTCTCATCCTCTCCTCCTCTCCTCCTCTCATCCTCTCATCCTCTCATCCTCTCATCCTCTCATCCTCTCCTCCTCTCCTCCTCTCATCCTCTCATCCTCTCATCCTCTCATCCTCTCTCCTCTCCTCTCGTCCTCTCCTCCTCTCGTCCTCTCGTCCTCTCGTCCTCTCATCCTCTCATCCTCTCCTCCTCTCGTCCTCTCGTCCTCTCATCCTCTCATCCTCTCATCCTCTCATCCTCTCATCCCCTCCTCCTCTCCTCCTCTCATCCTCTCATCCTCTCATCCTCTCTCCTCTCATCTCTCGTCCTCTCGTCCTCTCGTCCTCTCGTCCTCTCATCCTCTCATCCTCCTCCTCTCGTCCTCTCGTCTCTCATCCTCTCATTTTCTCATCCTCTCATCCTCTCATCCTCTCTCCTCTCATCCTCCCTCCTTCCTCCTCCTCTCTCCTCTCATCCTCTCATCCTCTCATCCTCTCATCCTCTCATCCCCTCCTCCTCTCCTCCTCTCCTCCTCTCATCCTCTCATCCTCTCATCCTCTCATCCTCTCGTCCTCTCATCCTCTCCTCCTCTCGTCCTCTCATCCTCTCATCCTCTTCCTCCTCTCATCCTCTCATCCTCTCATCCTCTCATCCTCTCATCCTCTCATCCTCTCATCCTCTCATCCTCTCCTCCTCTCGTCCTCTCGTCCTCTCTCCTCTCATCCTCTCATCCTCTCCTCCTCTCCTCCTCTCCTCTCTCTCCTCCTCTCCTCCTCTCATCCTCTCATCCTCTCATCCTCTCATCCTCTCATCCTCTCATCCTCTCATCCTCTCATCCTCTCATCCTCTCGTCCTCTCGTCCTCTCGTCCTCTCCTCCTCTCGTCCTCTCGTCCTCTCGTCCTCTCTCCTCTCCTCCTCTCTCCTCTCTCCTCTCATCCTCTCATCCTCTCATCCTCTCATCCTCTCATCCTCTCATCCTCTCATCCTCTCATCCTCTCCTCCTCTCCTCCTCTCCTCCTCTCGTCCTCTCATCCTCTCATCCTCTCATCCTCTCATCCTCTCATCCCCTCATCCCCTCCTCCTCTCCTCCTCTCATCCTCTCATCCTCTCATCCTCTCATCCTCTCGTCCTCTCATCCTCTCCTCCTCTCGTCCTCTCATCCTCTCATCCTCTCATCCTCTCATCCTCTCATCCTCTCATCCTCTCATCCTCTCCTCCTCTCATCCTCTCATCCTCTCATCCTCTCATCCTCTCGTCCTCTCATCCTCGCACCTGTCTGCCAATGGCTGCGCTCGAGCCTCTCTCCTCTCTCGTGCACTGACCGCGCCCACAGGCCTCGTCTGCCTCTCTGCACCCTACGCTCGAGCCTCTCTCCTCTCTCGTGCGGCTGTGTCTTGCCTCTCCCCCTTTTTGCCATTCCCTCTCGTGACCTCGTCATCTCAACTCCCTTCCCTTCCCCACGCAGGACGACCGCGCAAAGCAGTGGCGGGTGCAGGCGATATCCGTGGCGCCGGGCAGCTTTGAGAGCCGCTGCCCGCTTCCCCTGGAGTGGAGGAGCTTAAGGGATGACGAGCTGTCGCAGCGGTCGGGCATCCCGGGCGGCGTGTTCGTGCACAACAGCGGGTTCATCGGCGGCAACCTCACGTACGAAGGGGTGCTCGCCATGGCCAAGGCTGGCCTCGCTGCTGCTGCTGCCGAAGCTGCCTCCAAGGCTGCTGCCGAAGCTGTGGCCAAGGCTACTGTTGCTGCTTCCTAGAGACATGTGCCACTGCCAATGCCAAGGGCTGCTGCGTTAGTTGCATTCCTGTGCAGCCGTGCAGTCCAACTTACTGCCCGCCCATGCGTGGTCGTGCAGTATCCGCTTGTACAGCCTGGGGACAGCTGGAGTGGGTTTTGAACTTTTGACGCTCCTCAGATGCTGCTGTGCTTACTCTGCGGAGCACTGATACAGGTGCGCTACTGATGGTCACTGAGTTACCCCTGAGTTGCAGAATGAGACACCAAATGCAGTTACCTTGCCTGAATTCACGGTGGCTGGTGACATGTTAAAGCCGCTGTCCAAGATTGAAAAAAACCCGAAACCCGTAGAGGTAGTTGGGTGTTTGCGAGTTTAGCGAGGTGGTATGGAATGAACGAAGCACGTGATTGGGGTGGGAATTTTGTGGCTTCGCCACGGTGTAATTTGATTTTGGCCTTCCCGGTGGGTCCGAGGTGGATGTTGCGGGCTAGGGGGGAAAGGCAGGGGGAGTTTTGTGGGCGGGGTGTGGAAACATTTTGAAACCTAGAGCTGGCGGAAATTACTGGGCCCCGAGGCGGAATCGAAATCGCCCCTTGGGTATATTCCAGCTCGAAAACGCAGTGGCGGGAGTGGGGGAAGTGGGAAAGTGAGGGCGGGGTGGGGCCTGGGGGGGGAAACGAAATGGGCTCGGGGGAAGGAAACAAGGCGAGGGGAATAAACGCACAGGGAGCAGAGTGACAGTTTTCGAGGTTTGCAGTGCACCATTCTGGTTCAAAGTTTTTGCACGGCTTTTGGCGAGCTCTTGCCTAGCCAGCACTGCCTCACCAGGTAACCTAGCCTTTCAACTTACGGTATAAACAATTGAACCTTGCTGGCTATATTTGTACCGCGGCTTTAATTAGTACCGCTTGGAATGGCAAAATCCGTGGCAAGGCCAGTCCCTCATTCATTGGGCAGTGAGCGAGAAAAATCTGTGAATCAACAATATACTACTCCTACCCACCATTCCCCATCCAAATTAGTGTACTATGATCTTACATACAGGCAGCCGTGAACTACCTGCTGCTAGCGCTGGCCGTTCGAGCAATCACGGTAGGTTTTATCTCTAAAGGCTGCTGCCTGTGCTGCGGGTCATTGCTGCTGCACTGCTGTGCTGGACGGTGGTGAGGCGCCTTGCTGTGGCGCCGAGGCGGTGGGTTGAGGGGCGTTGGCGCTGGCAGGGGCAGCACACACCGCAGCACCTGCTCCACCTGCAGGTGAACAGGAGGGGGAGAGGGGGAGATGAGCGAGAGAGGAGAGAGAGAAAACACGGGGGAGAGGCAGTTGGTTCCGTGGTGTGGCGTTGAGAGGGCAGCAGCACACCCGCAGCACCTATTCCACCTGCAGGTGAGGAGAGGTGGGGAGGAGGAGAGGAGGGCGCGAGGAGAGAGATACGGGGGAGATCAGAGGCGGTGGTACGAGTAGAGCCGTTGGGTGGGGCAGCACACACCCGTAGCACCTGCTCCACCTGCCGGTGAACAGGAGGGGGAGAGGGGGAGAGGAGCAAGAGAGGAGAGAGGGACATGGGGGAGATCAGAGAGACGGTGGGTTGAGCGGCACTGGCCCGGGCAGCACACACCTGCTCCACCTGCTCGTGAGCCGGAGAGCGGGAGCAGCGGGAGGGGAGGGGAGGGGAGGGGAGGAGAGGGGAGGGCGCCGTCAGAATGGAAAGAGAGAGAGGGAACGAGGGAGCAGAGGAGCGTACACTCCGTGATAGCGGCTACACATTGGTTCTCCTCTCGCCTCGCTCTGTGTGGCGGCGGCACCTCTGTTTGGCCAGCAGGCACTGCGCGCATGGCTGCCACGTGGAGTGCAAAGCGGACGGGTCCAGGCGGGTCCGTGGCGCAATGGAAGTGACGGGGAAAGCGGGTGACTCTAGTCATTATGAGACGGGGGCTTTAATTGGTTGGGTAGTGGAGGGGAAGGGGAGACGCGGGGGATAGGGGGAGGGAGGATTGGCTGTCTGGGAAATGTCAAGGCGCCGGCAAGAGAGGAAGCGCGGGGAGCAAAGCGGAGGACGACTTTACTGGCGCCTCAAACATCGTCTCAAACGTCCTGCCATCACAGGCGGACGGCGCAATCCGCGCGATGCACGCCCGTGCGCATTGGAGGCACGCCAGGATCTCCTCCACCCAATATCCCAAGGGTCTTGTGGGATTCCAAGGGGCTTAGCTCTCGCACACATTCATCGCACCTGTCTGATGCGCTCGTGGCGCGTCTTGGCGTTGGCGCGCCGCGTGTGGTTCATGGGGTGGCGCTTCCACACGAGCCCGCCCGTCGCCTTGAACACCTGCAGCGCCACGCGCGTCGCCTCGCCCACAGCCATTGCAGCGACGCACGCCGGGGGTCGCGCGGATATCGGTGGTTCGGGGATTTCCAGCCGAGATCCGTCGACCTCAGGGAAGCCCTCTGCAACGGTAAAATCAGCGCGCTCTGGGCCTGACTGCTGACGGTCTGACTCGAGCGGCTCGTGGGGTGGACGGTGTGACTAATACGGGCGCTGGGAAAACGGGAGGAAAGTGGAACGGTGCCTGGTGTCAGAGGAGGCAACTGCGAATTCGCTGTCAAGCGATGCGTTAAGAACAATGTCGAAGTGTCGGAATGAAGCTGGGCTAGTACGATTAGTTGGAAAACTACATTCTGTTGTACATAGCAATTTCTCTTCGAATCAAACCACCCACATATTCTTCCCATAAACACTTACCTCTAAGACTCTCAGAAGGAAGTCGAATGTTTACATTGTGTGATTAGTAACAAGTGCACACAATCAGTGCAACTGACTTGGGAATGCAGCTTTGCTAAGAATCTAGACAAATGCTTTTGCATTACAGCACCTATTTTTCAATCCAGCTGGATCATATGCCAACCTGGCGCAATGCCTTATGCCGACCCTCTGTGCACCCTGCTGCTGCACCCCCCTGCCCTCACCTGCCTCTTATGCGCCAAACCCTCACTCTTCCCGGCCAACTGCTTCACCCCCTCCCTGCCACACACATCACTTGCCACTGCTCTGCCACCCCCCTCCCACCTGCTGCCTTCACAGCAGCCTGCCTTCCACCTGCTGCCCTGCCTGCTGCTCTCTCCCACACCCACCCCCCTCTCCCCGCTTTGCCCCACTCGCTTGGCTGTTGCTGGTCTTGCCAGCCATGCCTCGCATGCTAGCAGATGGTGCAGCTGGTACAGAAACCTTTGCTGGTGATGATGCACCAGCCAGTAAATTCGTTACTGTCGCTGCAGCAGATGGTGCTTCCGACTCTGCTACGGTTGCTGCTGCTGCTACAGCTGCTGCAGTGAACCGGAAGCCACGTTTGTGCGTTCAGCTTAGCTACCGCATCAGCATACTTCGCCCCGATCCAGGCTGGCATTGCTGCTTTCGCCTTCTCAATATCCACAGCCTGTATCTCCTTGAGGTGCTTCTCCCACCTCCCTCTCTCCTCCTCACTTATGCCGGTTGGGAAAAAAAAAAACTTATGGTACATTTAGGCTCCTAACAGGAGCAGTCTGCTCATAATGCCACGGAACAGAGCCCATCCTCTAAGGGCCAATTCCCTTGAATACAGATTTCTTGCCACCCCTTCCTCGCAACCCGATCTCAGTGGGCCGACCGTGGGCGCATGCAGGTGCGCCGTACAGGGCTGCCTGGACTGTTTGTTTTGAGACCCCCGTAACACCAAGATCCAGTACCGCTGTTTCCGCCTGCCATTGCTATGGCTGCTGCTGCCGTTATTCTCACGATTGATATAAAACCAGATTGGCGAGTGGATGTTACTGCTGTAGTTGCTGTTGCTGCTGCTGCCATTTCCACCAGCCAGCGGAAACGAGGGTTGGCGAGTGAGTGTGCAAGCATGGGACTGGTAATGTCGCCTGTTGCCACGGCCAGCACGCCATATAGGCAACCCCACACACGACGCCCTGGGAAGGGTGATTGCAGGGAAAACATGAATGACACACCAAGTTGGAAGCGGAACCGATTGGTAAGTGCGATGCGCCAGCACAGAACCAGCTACGCCCCCTGTTGCCCCACTCTGAACATGCCACGGAGGCGATCAGAAAGAACCACTGGCAATGGCACCTGCGGCCACTACGACACGTCACAGAAGCACCCGCGTTTAAAAGATAGCCTTTAAACGCTAGCGTTTAAAACGCCAAACGCGTTTATTCCTACGTAGCCAAGGAGAAGGGATCAGAGTGAAGCACTGGCCACGCCGCCTGCTGCCACTGCTAGCTCGCCAGTCGGCCAATGAACAAGAGGGGCTTACCAGGAAGCAAAGGTGAGGTTGCGATCGCCAGTAACGTGCAACATGCCAAAGACACCGCCTGATACAATCACTCCCACTGCATTCACCCCACCAGCGGCAGAGAGCCCCGCGGAACAGCAGCTCCTGAGAAAAGAAGAAAAGGAGGTGGGGGGAGTGGGAGGGGATGAAGGGATAATTAATTTCAGTTACAGCGGAAGGGCAAGAAATGTAGAGAATTTAAGGAGGCTTAATCTCTCCCGAGGCACAGCCCCTCCCTGACTACCTGGAAGGACGGAGACCCAGACGAGATCCGCATCAAGAGACTTGAGGTTGCCCTGGCGTTGGTATTTTAGGCACCTAAAATCACAGCTCGTACCTCAGATATCCTGGAAGGACGGAGACCCAGATGAGATCCGTGGGCGTTGAGGTTCGAGAGAGCCCGCACGTTGGACGCGTTGGTTGCAGCTGCGAAGGCCGGCAAGAGGCGGAGCAGGGCGAGACGCGCTGCAGAGACCACAGCCGCAGCTGCAAGGGTGAGCGGCAGGCTGGAGAGCGATAGGCCCACTGTATGCCGAAGGGGGAAGAACCAGACAAGAGGGGAGATTGAGAGAAAGAGAGAGTACGGACCATTCGAGTAAGGGCAGTAGAGAATAAGCAGCACGCGAGGGAGAGATAAGTCAAGAACACAATGGCAGCAGCTGAGAGGGAAGTTGGCAGGCATGAGAAGAGGGAGAGAGAGGAGAAGAGATGCACTGTGAGTGAGTCATGGGGGAGCGAGTGGGGAGGTGGAGGGAGAGGGAGCAGTGCAGTAGAGGGAAGGTGAGAGGTGTAGTGAGCTGAGGTGGGCAGCAGAGACAATGGCAGCAGCTGAGAGGGCGAGAAGGCTGGAAGGGGGAACCGAGAGATCCACTGTGAGTGATGGGGGAGTGGAAGGGGGGGGAGGGGAAGTCGAAGAGGGGAAATTGTGTGGGGGGGGATAGAGGGAGGGTGAGAGGCCGCGTAAGGTAAGGCCGGTAAGGTAAGGGGCGGCATGCACGACGATTGCAGTGGCTGGGAGGGGCGAGAGGGAGGCTGGAGGTCTGAGAGGTGCACTGTGGTGTGATGCAGTATGGGACTCCTTTGTTAAGAGGGCATGAGAGAAAATGGAGAGATTTAGATGAACGAGAGGTGCAGGAGGGAGAGACCAGCCGGCGCGACCAACGGAACGGTTTGCAAGGGGGAGAGAGCGAGAGTGGGTGGGGGGAAGGCAGCCAGATTCTGAGACGTCCCAAACAGAACTAGGGAGAGACAGGCCGGCGCGACTGGAGAGCGGCTGCAATGGGGCTAAGCGGGTCAAGTGAGTGCTATGGGAGTGGGGGGTGGGGGAGTGTGGGAGGAAAGTAGGCGAGAGTGCAGGCGGGAGAGGTGATAAGCAAATATGATGGCAGGGGCTTAGGGACGAAGAGAGGCAGGCAGGACGAAGAGAGCGGACATGTGCCCTGCTCGCTGTAGGGGAGGGTGGCAGAAAAGAGGGGAGCGAGTGGGGGGTGGAGAGAGCATGGTGCAGGAGAGGGTAGAGTGGCGGGGCAGTCTAGAAGCTCATTGCAGTGTGCGGGGAAGGGTGGCAGAGTGAGGCACGGACATGGGGCTCAAGATGCAGGGTGGTTGTGGCGCGTGCACGGACAAGGCACGCAGCAATGGCTCAAAGATGCATTGTTCTTGGTGGCGCGAAGCATGCATCATGGCTCACGTGACGCAGTGGGCTTACCATGGCAAGGCATCATGCATAACTTGAATCATGACGTCATGGATGCATGGGCAAATGGCATCATGCACGCACATGGCATCACGCACGCACATGGCATCAAGCACGCACGTGGCATCACGCACACACATGCCCTCACACACGCACATGGCATCAAGCACGCACATGGCATCATGCACGCCCATGGCATCATGCAGGCGCATGGCACCAGGCACGTGCATGGCACCAGGCACGCGCATGGCATCACGCACGCGCATGGCATCACGCACGCCATGGCATCACGCCAACGCGATATGGCATCATCATCATGCACGCGCATGGCATTCATGCACGCGCATGGCATCACGCACGGCGCATGGCATCATGCACGCACATGGCATCATGCACACACATGGCATCATGCACGCACATGGCATCATGCACACACATGGCATCATGCAGGCGCATGGCACCAGGCACGCGCATGGCATCAGGCGCGCGCATTGGCACATGCACGCACATGGCATCATGCACGCCCATGGCATCATGCACGCCCATGGCACCAGGCACGCACATGGCATCATGCACGCACATGGCATCATGCACGGCGCATGGCATCAGGCACGCACATGGCATCATGCACCTCATGGCATCATGCAGGCGCATGGCGAATGGCATGGATGAAAACGCATGACATCATGGGTCAGTTGATGCACTCACGTGGCAAACGGCATTGACAGATAAGCATAGCTCACAGACAGGTTGATGCACTCACGTGGCAAACGGCATTGACAGATAAGCATAGCTCACAGACAGGTTGATGCACTCACGTGGCAAACGGCATTGACAGATAAGCATAGCTCACAGACAGGTTGATGCACTCACGTGGCAAACGGCATTGACAGATAAGCATAGCTCCAGACAGGTTGATGCACTCACGTGGCAAACGGCATTGACACATAAGCATAGCTCACAGACAGGTTGATGCACTCACGTGGCAAACGGCATTGACAGATAAGCATAGCTCACAGACAGGTTGATGCACTCACGTGGCAACGGCATTGACAGATAAGCATAGCTCACAGACAGATTGATGCACTCACGTGGCAAACGGCATTGACAGATAAGCATAGCTCACAGACAGGTTGATGCACTCACGTGGCAAACGGCATTGACAGATAAGCATAGCTCACAGACAGGTTGATGCACTCACGTGGCAAACGGCATTGACAGATAAGCATAGCTCACAGACAGGTTGATGCACTCACGTGGCAAACGGCATTGACAGATAAGCATAGCTCACAGACAGGTTGATGCACTCACGTGGGCAAACGGCATTGACAGATAAGCATAGCTCACAGACAGGTTGATGCACTCACGTGGCAAACGGCCATTGACAGATAAGCATAGGTCAGAGACAGGTTGATGCACTCACGTGGCAAACGGCATTGACAGATAAGCACAGGTCAGAGACAGGTTGATGCACTCACGTGGCAAACGGCATTGACAGATAAGCATAGCTCACAGACAGGTTGATGCACTCACGTGGCAAACGGCATTGACAGATAAGCATAGCTCACAGACAGGTTGATGCACTCACGTGGCAAACGGCATTGACACATAAGCATAGCTCACAGACAGGTTGATGCACTCACGTGGCAAACGGCATTGACAGATAAGCATAGCTCACAGACAGGTTGATGCACTCACGTGGCAAACGGCATTGACAGATAAGCATAGCTCACAGACAGATTGATGCACTCACGTGGCAAACGGCATTGACAGATAAGCATAGCTCACAGACAGGTTGATGCACTCACGTGGCAAACGGCATTGACAGATAAGCATAGCTCACAGACAGGTTGATGCACTCACGTGGCAAACGGCATTGACACATAAGCATAGCTCACAGACAGGTTGATGCACTCACGTGGCAAACGGCATTAACAGATAAGCATAGGTCAGAGACAGGTTGATGCACTCACGTGGCAAACGGCATTGACAGATAAGCATAGGTCAGAGACAGGTTGATGCACTCACGTGGCAAACGGCATTGACAGATAAGCATAGCTCACAGACAGGTTGATGCACTCACGTGCAAACGGCATTGACAGATAAGCATAGCTCACAGACAGGTTGATGCACTCACGTGGCAAACGGCATTGACAGATAAGCACAGGTCAGAGACAGGTTGATGCACTCACGTGGCAAACGGCATTGACAGATAAGCATAGCTCACAGACAGGTTGATGCACTCACGTGGCAAACGGCATTGACAGATAAGCACAGGTCAGAGACAGGTTGATGCACTCACGTGGGCAAACGGCATTGGACAGATAAGCATAGGTCAGAGACAGGTTGATGCACTCACGTGGCAAACGGCATTGACAGATAAGCATAGGTCAGAGACAGGTTGATGCACTCACGTGGCAAACGGCATTGACAGATAAGCATAGGTCAGAGACAGGTTGATGCACTCACGTGGCAAACGGCATTGACAGATAAGCACAGGTCAGAGACAGGTTGATGCACTCACGTGGCAAACGGCATTGACAGATAAGCATAGGTCAGAGACAGGTTGATGCACTCACGTGGCAAACGGCATTGACAGATAAGCATAAGCTCACAGAACAGGTTGATGCACTCACGTGGCAAACGGCATTGACAGATAAGCACAGGTCAGAGACAGGTTTGATGCACTCACGTGGCAAACGGCATTGACAGATAAGCATAGGTCAGAGACAGGTTGATGCACTCACGTGGCAAAACGGCATTGACAGATAAGCATAGCTCACAGACAGGTTGATGCACTCACGTGGCAAACGGCATTGACAGATAAGCATAGCTCACAGACAGGTTGATGCACTCACGTGGCAAACGGCATTGACACATAAGCATAGCTCACAGACAGGTTGATGCACTCACGTGGCAAACGGCATTGACAGATAAGCATAGCTCACAGACAGGTTGATGCACTCACGTGGCAAACGGCATTGACAGATAAGCATAGCTCACAGACAGATTGATGCACTCACGTGGCAAACGGCATTGACAGATAAGCATAGCTCACAGACAGGTTGATGCACTCACGTGGCAAACGGCATTGACAGATAAGCATAGCTCACAGACAGGTTGATGCACTCACGTGGCAAACGGCATTGACAGATAAGCACAGGTCAGAGACAGGTTGATGCACTCACGTGGCAAACGGCATTGACAGATAAGCATAGCTCACAGACAGGTTGATGCACTCACGTGGCAAACGGCATTGACAGATAAGCATAGGTCAGAGACAGGTTGATGCACTCACGTGGCAAACGGCATTGACAGATAAGCATAGGTCAGAGACAGGTTGATGCACTCACGTGGCAAACGGCATTGACAGATAAGCACAGGTCAGAGACAGGTTGATGCACTCACGTGGCAAACGGCATTGACAGATAAGCATAGGTCAGAGACAGGTTGATGCACTCACGTGGCAAACGGCATTGACAGATAAGCATAGGCTCACAGACAGGTTGATGCACTCACGTGGCAAACGGCATTGACAGATAAGCACAGGTCAGAGACCAGGTTGATGCACTCACGTGGCAAACGGCATTGACAGATAAGCATAGGTCAGAGACAGGTTGATGCACTCACGTGGCAAACGGCATTGACAGATAAGCATAGCTCACGGACAGGTTGATGCACTCACGTGGCAAACGGCATTGACAGATAAGCATAGCTCACAGACAGGTTGATGCACTCACGTGGCAAACGGCATTGACACATAAGCATAGCTCACAGACAGGTTGATGCACTCACGTGGCAAACGGCATTGACAGATAAGCATAGCTCACAGACAGGTTGATGCACTCACGTGGCAAACGGCATTGACAGATAAGCATAGCTCACAGACAGATTGATGCACTCACGTGGCAAACGGCATTGACAGATAAGCATAGCTCACAGACAGGTTGATGCACTCACGTGGCAAACGGCATTGACAGATAAGCATAGCTCACAGACAGGTTGATGCACTCACGTGGCAAACGGCATTGGACAGATAAGCATAGCTCACAGACAGGTTGATGCACTCACGTGGCAAACGGCATTGACAGATAAGCATAGCTCACAGACAGGTTGATGCACTCACGTGGCAAACGGCATTGACAGATAAGCACAGGTCAGAGACAGGTTGATGCACTCACGTGGCAAACGGCATTGACAGATAAGCATAGCTCACAGACAGGTTGATGCACTCACGTGGCAAACGGCATTGACAGATAAGCACAGGTCAGAGACAGGTTGATGCACTCACGTGGCAAACGGCATTGACAGATAAGCATAGCTCACAGACAGGTTGATGCACTCACGTGGCAAACGGCATTGACAGATAAGCATAGGTCAGAGACAGGTTGATGCACTCACGTGGCAAACGGCATTGACAGATAAGCATAGGTCAGAGACAGGTTGATGCACTCACGTGGCAAACGGCATTGACAGATAAGCATAGGTCAGAGACAGGTTGATGCACTGCACTCACGTGGCAAACGGCATTGACAGATAAGCATAGCTCACAGACAGGTTGATGCACTCACGTGGCAAACGGCATTGACAGATAAGCACAGGTCAGAGACAGGTTGATGCACTCACGTGGCAAACGGCATTGACAGATAAGCATAGGTCAGAGACAGGTTGATGCACTCACGTGGCAAACGGCATTGACAGATAAGCATAGCTCACAGACAGGTTGATGCACTCACGTGGCAAACGGCATTGACAGATAAGCATAGCTCACAGACAGGTTGATGCACTCACGTGGCAAACGGCATTGACACATAAGCATAGCTCACAGACAGGTTGATGCACTCACGTGGCAAACGGCATTGACAGATAAGCATAGCTCACAGACAGGTTGATGCACTCACGTGGCAAACGGCATTGACAGATAAGCATAGCTCACAGACAGATTGATGCACTCACGTGGCAAACGGCATTGACAGATAAGCATAGCTCACAGACAGGTTGATGCACTCACGTGGCAAACGGCATTGACAGATAAGCATAGCTCACAGACAGGTTGATGCACTCACGTGGCAAACGGCATTGACACATAAGCATAGCTCACAGACAGGTTGATGCACTCACGTGGCAAACGGCATTGACAGATAAGCATAGGTCAGAGACAGGTTGATGCACTCACGTGGCAAACGGCATTGACAGATAAGCATAGGTCAGAGACAGGTTGATGCACTCACGTGGCAAACGGCATTGACAGATAAGCACAGGTCAGAGACAGGTTGATGCACTCACGTGGCAAACGGCATTGACAGATAAGCATAGCTCACAGACAGGTTGATGCACTCACGTGGCAAACGGCATTGACAGATAAGCATAGCTCACAGACAGGTTGATGCACTCACGTGGCAAACGGCATTGACAGATAAGCATAGCTCACAGACAGGTTGATGCACTCACGTGGCAAACGGCATTGACAGATAAGCATAGCTCACAGACAGATTGATGCACTCACGTGGCAAACGGCATTGACAGATAAGCATAGGTCAGAGACAGGTTGATGCACTCACGTGGCAAACGGCATTGACAGATAAGCATAGGTCAGAGACAGGTTGATGCACTCACGTGGCAAACGGCATTGACAGATAAGCATAGGTCAGAGACAGGTTGATGCACTCACGTGGCAAACGGCATTGACAGATAAGCATAGGTCAGAGACAGGTTGATGCACTCACGTGGCAAACGGCATTGACAGATAAGCACAGGTCAGAGACAGGTTGATGCACTCACGTGGCAAACGGCATTGACAGATAAGCATAGGTCAGAGACAGGTTGATGCACTCACGTGGCAAACGGCATTGACAGATAAGCATAGGTCAGAGACAGGTTGATGCACTCACGTGGCAAACGGCATTGACAGATAAGCATAGGTCAGAGACAGGTTGATGCACTCACGTGGCAAACGGCATTGACAGATAAGCATAGGTCAGAGACAGGTTGATGCACTCACGTGGCAAACGGCATTGACAGATAAGCATAGGTCAGAGACAGGTTGATGCACTCACGTGGCAAACGGCATTGACAGATAAGCACAGGTCAGAGACAGGTTGATGCACTCACGTGGCAAACGGCATTGACAGATAAGCATAGGTCAGAGACAGGTTGATGCACTCACGTGGCAAACGGCATTGACAGATAAGCACAGGTCAGAGACAGGTTGATGCACTCACGTGGCAAACGGCATTGACAGATAAGCATAGGTCAGAGACAGGTTGATGCACTCACGTGGCATGGCCTGCAGGCAGTCGCTGATGGGGACACCGGCGGCATGCGACCAGGACGAGAGCTGGGGAAGGGTGGGAGGTTGGAGAGCTGCAAAATACATTAGAAACCCATCTTCTTCTTTCGAGTTTGAGACGGCGCTGGAGTAGATTGCTCTACAGGGTAACACAAGGTAGAGGCGTTCATTACAGCGGAAGCACGCGACCAATGGAGCATCCCACGCGGCCATAAGAGAGGGCCATATGGGCATGGGGCAAAAAGAGGCACGAGAGCGAGAGAGGGCGGTGAGAGAGGGGGGGCGATGAGAGAGAGGGGCGATGGGAGGGGGCGGAAGGGCGTGACACTAAACGGGATGGGGGTTTCAAGTGGCAACAGCAGGATTAGAGGAGCTTAAGCAGTCAAGACAGTCAAGAGAGTTAATAGATGTAGGGAAAGGAAGGCGCCCACCTGTCTGCCCAGCAGCCCAGCCACGGCCAAACCACCCGACGTGGTTACGCAAGCCCGCCAAACCTCCTCTCTAGGGGCGGCAGCAACAGAGGCAGCAGCAACAGGAGCAGCAGAGGCAGAAGCGGCGAGAGAGGAAGCCGATGAAGCACGAGCAACGGCTGTGGGTGTCCATCGTGCTGCTCGCTCCGCTCGCTCTGCTTCCTGCTCCGGTTGCTCTGCAAGCTCGGGTTGATTCGACTCGAGAGAGTTCTGCTGCTCCCGGCTCGGCGCGCTTGACGACGACGACTTGTCGCCAGCCTTGCGACTGCGTTGCTTCGCGCTGCCTCCGGATTGTCGCTTGGCAGCTCCTGCGACGAGTGCTTCGCGCTGAGCGACTGCGTTGCGGCGAGCGACGGTGTACGACTGCCAGTTGAATGTGCGACTGCGCGACGATTCGCATGAGGACTCGGCGACGCGTAACGAAGAAAGCCATGTCGCCTCACGGCGGATGGCGGCAGAAATTGGGCATGTGGTATCCATTGCCGGAAACAAAGGTTTCGCAGGAAGAAGTGCAATGGTTTGCGAGAGCGTATGGCGCGTAAATGCGGCGGAGTCCTGCTTGACTCGCGGAGAGAGGTAGCTGGGTGCTGCGGGAGAGGTAGCCTGCTGACTGCCGCACCCTGCGTCACTGTGGCGCAGTCTTACATTTGCGCGGTTAGGTACGGTGCGGCTGGTATTGACGTGAGTGAACCCTCCAATAATGAAGTGCGTAAAACTCTTCCCTAGATGAAGCCTAATTGGATTGTAACTTGGCCTCTCGATATCATGGTGAAATAGGCTGATGACCCTTACTATAAGGGTGGGGTACGCGTTGGACCCTTATTTATTTGAGTTGTTTTTTTACATACCTGTTGGGCTGAGAAAAAGCCCTTAGGATCTTTCCAGAGACTTGAGTCCCAGTTGTAAAAGATGCTTGAGTAATGCAGCGGAAGTTGAGTAGTTCAACCCTTGCACTAGTATGTGAGAGCAAGTGATTGATTAAAGGAAACAAGCATACAGCAATATATAGAAGATAGGAAAGTAAAGCAGTTGTAGAATACAGTTGAAGAACGGTTATCGAGACGCACAGCGACTCGATTGTCGATTCGGTTACCACCCTTGCAATTGTAACGATCAGTCGCAACCTCCGGTTGCGACCCTTCGAGTCTTTCGTCCTTGTGTTCTTTTGTCCAACCTCCTCGTGTAACCTCTGTTGACTCGTATACTCGATACGGCTTCACTCGAGTGTGGTGTTACACTTCAGAAACGCGGAAGTCCTTGAGGTATTTCCAACACTCCCCTTCGTTTCTGGAGTGCTGACGTGTTCAGATTCGGTGACGTTTATCTGCCCGGTCAGCAGCATGCAGTAATCGAACTTTGCCTTCGTCAGTTTCTTCGTCAGGTAGTCTGCGGCCATTTCCGTCGTGACGCAGTAACTGAGTTGAAGTCTCCCCTTCGCGATTTCATCATTGACGAAGAAGTACCGCAGGGCGATGTGTTTTGGTTCGGTTGGCGAAACCGTCTTTGTTCGCGATTTTGATCGCGGATTGGTTGTCGCAGAAGAGTGAGAAGAAGGGCAGGGTTGCAATCTTTGCTTCCTCGAGCAACTCTCGCAGGTAGAGTCCTTCCTTGGTCGCAGTGCAGAGGGCGATATATTCTGCTTCGGCTGAAGATAGTGCGATTAGTTCCTGTTTGCTCGACTGCCAGGAGATAGTCCCGATAGGCTCTAGTCGGTAAATGTAGCCCGTCCTTGAGCGTCGATTTTCCCTGTCTCCTGCGTGGTCGGCGTCGACGTATCCAAGTAGTTGTACGGACGATGTCGTTGCTTTACTGTAGGTAAGTCAAGTCGTCGGCGTAGAGACGAAGTAGAGTAGTGCCCGATTTAGTTCCTCGAGATCTCCTTGTTCCGGATGCTTTAGATGCGTCTCTAGTTGGCTCGCGCTGTAAGATAGGTCCGGTCGGCAAGTTACTGCTGCGAATAGTAGGCAGCCGAGCTTCTGCTGATACTCCTGGGTTTGCTTCGCGGGGAGTTTTGCGAAGGTGTCGTTGTTGTTCCCGTAGCGGTAGGGAGTCGTGACTGTAGTCGGCGTTAGTCCGAATTTCTTCGCGACAGCGCCTGTGTACTTCCCAGCGTGTAGGTAGAATGCCGAGTTGTCTTCGACGATGTTCAGACCTAGGTACTGGGTCACGGTGTTAGACACCGTGAGTGTCAAGTCACTTCTCAGCTCCCCTTTGAACGAGGTGGCAATGTCGGTAGTGGAGCTGATGTAGAGCAGGTCGTCGACGTAGACGATGAGTAGGATAAAACCCCTTTCCTTCTGTAGTCGGTACATGCCTTGGTCGTGCGGCAGCTGTAGGAAGCCAATCCTGACGAGGCGGCCGTGAAGGTGCTGCTGCCAAAGCTGCGGGGCTTGTTTGATCCCGTAGAGGGATTTATCAGCTGGCACACTTTTGTGGGGTCGTCGATGAATCCGTGGGGCTGCTCGACGAAGATCTCGGCGTCCACCGGTGCGTACAGGAAGGCGTTTGCAACGTCGATTTGGTGCAGTGGTAGCTTCTTCGTGGCCGCGACGGCGAATAGGATGCGCAAAGAGGTGTGACGAGAGACTGGGGCGAATGTCTCTGTGTAGTCGGTTCCGTATCGCTGGTCGAATCCCCGTACGGCCCAGCGAGCCTTGAATCGTTCGATGGAGCCGTCCGCATTAGTCTTGATGCGGTACACCCATTTTCCCGAGAGCACGTTTTTTTCGCAGGTTTTTGTTGCAGGTACCAGCTTCACGTGTTTCGGTCTTGGAGGGCCTTTAGTTCTTTTTCCATTGCTTCCTTCCATTTCGCCTTATGTTCCCCCCCCAGAGCCTGCGACAGAGTCGTTGGCTCGCGCGGAGACGGCGGCGGCGGGTGCTAGATGGAGACCCATAATCCGAGTATCTGCAGGCCTGTGGGTGTGTGTCGAGGGGAATTTTCATTCCCGGAATAGGCTGCTTCGTCACCATCTTCTGGATCAGGTAAGAAGTTTGGGCCGATGCGTTCTAAGACATTCGTGTCGACAGGTTGAGGTGCAACGTAACCTTGGTCAGCGAAGTGGTAATGGGTGTCGAGGTTATTACTATTGAGGGGATTGTCATCGTCGAGTGGAACAGGCACGGAACAGTAAGGGAGTGGTCCGGCAGCTTCCGAAGCTCCAGGTACGTCTTCTTCTGCTGCGTCAGCCTCAGCAGCACGGTCGGCGAAGGACCGAAGGCCCTCGAAGCCATTCGCGGGGTCTTCTGTGTTTGCAATGTTGTCCAGGTAATGCTGCAGCGTCAATCGTTCGTAGAAAATCACATCACGTGAGGCCACGGTGTTTTTGTCTTGTATGTCGAGAAGTTTCCATGCTTGGAAATGTTTTGCGATGCCGAGGTGTAGTCCCCATTGTGCTCGTTGAGAGAATCGTCCTGCGCGTGCTGTGTGGGATCTGTACTGTACCATACAGCCGAAGACTCGAAGTAATTTTGTGCTGCCCTGTTTTTCCCGTCCACAGCAGGTGCGATGATGCGTTGTTGGGAAGTGATGACAAGGATAACAAATTGTGCAGGTGAACTGCATGGGTCATCGCGTCAGGCCAAAAGCGTGTTGGGCAGTCTCATCCCCAGGAGCAGTTTTCGCATCGTCGTCTGCAAGGTCCGGTTCATTCTTTCTGCGACCCCCTAATGCTGGTGAGCGTAGGGCAGAGACACCAGGCGTCTGATTCCTCTTTCCGCCAAGTAGTTCCTGAATCGTTGTGATTGGTATTCCAGTGCGCCGTCTGACTGGAAGCTCTTGAGTTGAGTTCCTGATTCTCGTTCAGCGATGGGGAGCCACGTCGTGAAGGCTTCGAATGCTTGATCGCGTGCCTTGAGGTTGTAGTGCCAGACGTATCTTGTTGCTGCGTCGATAAACGTGATGACATAGTTGAAGTCTGCTTCACTGTCGTCTCGCGGCATATTTAAGATGTCGCTGTAAACTTTTTCCATCGGTGCGTATGCAGGTGCACTTGGATTGTGATGCGACGGAAAGGGTTGGTGTGGAAGATCGGCTTCAGGACACATGAAGCATCTGGCGCGAGGTCGTCGAAGCTCTTGTCCGCTCGTTGTGAGGAGAGCGTCCTTTTCTAATACTCCAGCTTGGGATTGTTTGTAGAACTGTACTATTTTGCAGGGTGACCGAGGCGTTGGTGCCAGATGTCGTCGGGAGCGCGATGGCCGGGGGGAACGCTGATACAAGCTGGTGTTGGAGAAGAACGCGACGGCTGTTGCGGGACTGCGGCAAAACTCCTTGAGCGTTTGGCATGAGTTGGTCTGCTTCGGTTGGTGGCCCTCGGACTGCTGGTGATGGCACACGACTAGGTCCTGCTGCTGCTACTGCAGGTGATGTTGCGGGTGGGACACTTGCTGGTACGTGTCTTTCTTGTCGTATGACTGCTAACGCTCGGGTCCTTTCTGCTGCAGGTATTGTGTTGGAGTACCAGAAACCATCTGGGGTAAAGTCAGGGTCAAGATCCGGCTGGTGATTCCATGCGGCAAACGACACGATGCCATCGCTGTCGGCAGTACCGCGGTCAGGGACGAAATCCCAATACGAAGACGCCCGACTTCAGGAGAGCGCGACCGATGAAGAGGCCGCCCTTCCCGTGGTAAAGCGAAATTCGTTGGAGTCCGAGTCTCATTCCAGGTGAATCCCTTTTGCCATTAACTGGCCGACGCTGAGTAGGTGTATCCCAAGTTGTCGACGATTAGAACTTTGTTGAGTTGCAGTATGACGTTTGTCTCCATTGACTGGAGCTGAACGACGCCTTGTCTGTTTGTTTGCAGATTCTCGTTGTTGGCGACGGTGATGATGACATCACGGTTGAGAAGTCGCTCTCGTTGCACGAAGCGCCCGGAAGAACACATATGTTGGCCGCAACAGCTGTCAAGAACCAAGTGTTTCGCCCGGTGGGTTCGGCATTGGCGACAGCAGCGTACGTTGGGTTGACTTGAAGTCCTTGTGAGCGCGACGGCGGCAGTTCTTCTTCGTCTGGAGCGTAAGTGGGTGTGATCCGGGTGCGCAGTTGTCGATGTGTACCATGCAATTGATGATGTTCGGTGTGCCTTGTGCAGATGTGGAAGGAACGCCTCGGCGGGGCTTTCTTGAGTGGAGCGACTTGTGGGTCTACTGGACAATAAGCTCGGGGGCGTGTGCAGTTGACTTTGGAGTGTCCGGATGTTTGACAGTTGTGGCAGAACGGCGGCACAATGGTGAGTCCTCTGTTGTTGCGTTGATCTTGCTTGCCGCGTCGGTTGTAGTTGTTGTCGTTTCTTCGTTGAGTGTAGAAAACTAACGGTTGCTGTTTCCTTGGTTGTCTTTCTTCAAACAGGTCCATCTCCTGTTGTTCAGCATGAAGCTCGGCGCAGAGGTGCATCTCCGAGATTCGTCCGTGGGCACGAAGAAGCGAGCGGTGGTTCTCCATTCTGGCCCGAGCCCAGCGAGGACAAGTGTCACGAAGCTTTCTTCAGTGATTGTACCTCCGCACCGAAGCAGGCGGTGCGGAGTGTCTGGCAGCGACTCATATACTGCATCGCCTTTTCCC